CATATCCCGTACCTGTCCCAGGTGTCCCAGGTGCAGGAGGCCGCGGGCCGTCTGGCGGCCGCCTACGCGGGCCCGCGCGCGGAGGAGCTGCGGGCGCAGGAGCGTTTGGTGAGCGCGGCCTGGGCCGAGCTCCGCGGGCGCTGCCAGCGCCGCCGCCGCCTCCTCGGGGACACCGTGGAGCAGTTCCGGTTCCTCCGCGCCGCCCGCGACCTCCGGCTCTGGATGGACGGGATGAACCTGCAGCTCGAGGCACGGGAGCGCCCCAGGTGAGGTGGGACACCGAGGGGACACCGAGGGGACACCGTGGGGACACCATGGGGACATCATGGGGACATCATGGGGACATCATGGGGACACCATGGGGACATCATGGGGGCACCACAGGGGCACGGGGGACACTGCGGGGACACCAAGAGGACACCATGGGGGAACCATAGGGGCATGGGGACACCACGGGGGCACCAAGGGGATGCCATGGGGACACCACGGGGGCACAAGGACACCATGGGGACACCAGAGGGACATTGCAGGGACACTGCAGGGACACCATGGGGACATGGGGACACTGCGGGGACACCAAGAGGACACCATGGGGGCACCACAGGGGCATGGGGACACCGAGGGGACACCATGGGGGCATGGGGACACCACGGGGGCACCAAGGGAATGCCATGGGGACACCATGGGGGCACAAAGACACCATAGGGACACTGCAGGGACACCATGGGAACACCAGAGAGACACTGCGGGGACACCAAGGGGACGCCATGGGGACATCACAAGGACATGGGGACACCAGGGGGACACCAGGGGGACACCAAGGGGACACAGGGACACCCCAAGGACACCCTGGGGACACCGCAGTGACCCCAGCACGGGGGTGTGACCGTGGCCAACCCGGTGGTCCAGCCCCCCTCATCCCCCCCGGGCTCACCTGGGCCCAGGTGGAGGTGCAGGCCGGGGTCACATGGGGTCAGGGGGTCACACCGTCCCCGTCCCCGTCCCAGGGATGTCACGGCGGCCGAGCTGCTCATCCAGCAGCCCCGGGGGCTCTGGGCGGGGTTGGTGAGGGCTGGGGTCACTCAGGGTCACCCCCATGTCCCCATCCCCATCCCAGGGATGTCACGGCGGCCGAGCTGCTCATCCAGCAGCACCAGGGGCTCTGTGTGGGGTTGGTGAGGGCTGGGGTCACTCAGGGTCACCCCCATGTCCCCATCCCCATCCCAGGGATGTCACGGCGGCCGAGCTGCTCATCCAGCAGCACCAGGGG